AAAAAAAAAATTGGGCATGGGTAGGGATATTTGGTAAGAGACGGTACTCATTCCCGCAAGGCCTTCGTAATCTGTTCCTTCGTAAGTTCCTGAAAGGCCTTCTTAAACCGTTCCCTCATATGCTCCAGCAAGGCCTTCGTCATCTGTTGTTTCATTCGTTCCGCCTGCGATTGAGATTGCGCAACCATAACGGTGAGACGGATGACGTAATCCACTGCTTTAAGCAAATCTTTCTTCACCATTTATTAATGGTTGTACTGTTGTCCGACAATCTCTGCTGCAACACTTACAGAGTTATGTGCGGGTTCACCTCTTGTCTGTGCATAAGGGTTTCGTACAGCTACATAGGATCACTTTTTCAATGATTAGTAGGTACGTAGCATGTTCTTTATTCATTTGTTTTTGTGTATAAGTAGAGTTTGTACAAAACATTTTTGAGATATACAAAAAGCATCTTTTTCCCAAAAGCTCTCTGTGTTCCTTTAGCTCTAAACGTGTTCTTCAAGTTCTGGAAAAGTGTTCTTCGTCTTCAAGTTGCAGCAGGGTAAAATGGTATCAGAGCGACCTTAAACCCTCTTTTCTTTTTCTTCTTTCTTTCTTCTACCCTTCTATCTTTTTTTTCGTTTATTTACCTAGTCTTCTTATCTTTCCTTCTCTGAACTATGGAAGACAACTCTCCTTCTGCAACCTCCTCTGCATCTGATTTACCCCCAACACCACCAACCCCTCAGCCTAACCCAGATCTTTCATCCACCTCTAACCCCATTCTCTCTGCAGTTCCCTCTCTTGATCCCTATTCCAACCCTCTTTTTCTTCATGCCGCGAACTCTTCAAGCTTTACCCTTGTCTCCGAAAAATTACTCGGGGAATCCAACTATAACTTGTGGTCGCGCTCTGTTATCAAAGCCCTCATTACGAAAAACAAGTTGGGGTTCATTTATGGGACAATACCCAAACCATCGGAGGATCATCACGATTTTGGTGCCTGGCATCGCTGTAAGCCCTGGTTTCGACTTGGCTCAGCAACTCTGTTTCTTCTGAGATTGCTTCTTTAATCCTCTATCTTGATGACGCTAACGTCATCTGGACTACAAAACTCGCTACAAGCAGAAGAACGTTTCCAAGATATTCAGTGTTGAACAGAAGCTTGCTACTCTGCAACAAGGGGGCACCGACCTCAACTCATTCTTCACCACATTGAATACTTTATGGGAAGAACTCAAAAACTATGAACCATAAACAGTATGTTCTTGCGGTGGATGTTCTTGCCAGGCTATAGACAAGTTCGTTGCTCTTCTTGAACGCAGAAAGGTTGTTCAGTTTCTCATGAAACTGAACGAATCTTTCCACCCAGCACGGAGGCAAATCTTGATGATTGAGCCCCTCCCGAGCATGTCTAAAGTGTTTAATCTGGTCTCCCAGGAAGATCATCAAAGGCAAAATCGCTCTCTTCCACAGCACTCGGGCTTTCTTCCACAGCACTCGGTTGTTTTTCAAGCGTCTGGCCCTTCCTACCCTAGAGGGAGGCCATCTTTCCAGAACAACTTCAAACCACATCCTGTCTGTGCTCATTGTGGTCTACAGGGCCACACGATTCAACGCTGCTACAAGCTCCATGGTTATCCACCATCTTCTCGTTATGTACTGCCTTCTTTTGCTCCTGCTTCATCGGGAAAACCCCCCTGTTGCCTCGCCCACGCTCAGGTACTGATGTTAAACCATTTAATCCTGTTAACATGGTTTCTTCAGTATCACAGACCTCTACTGGCTCCTCTTTTCCTGCTGGAACTTCTTCGAGCTCCATGGCTCAAGCACAAGCTCTGTTTGACACATTCCAGTCTCAACTAAAGCTTATTAGCAGTTCACCACCGGTTTCTGACTCTGCTACTACCACTACCGAGCCTTCCTTCTCAGGTGCCTTTTCCTTTTCTTCCCCACAGATTCTTTCTGCCTTATATTCTACTTCTTCCTCTTTGACTTCTCCTACTGATTGGATCTTAGATACGGTGCTAGTTGTCATGTGTGTTGCAACTTAAGTCTGTTTTCTGATGTTCAACCAATTCCCCATACATCTGTTACATTGCCAAATGGCTCTAATCTTCCAGTTCATTTTTCCGGCACTGTCCCTGTTTCTCAGTCCTTATTATTAACCTCTGTCTTTTTTATCCCTTCTTTTCGTTTCAATTTGCTAAGTGTCAGTGCCTTAACACGCAATACTTCTTACTCTATCACTTTTACTCACAACTCTTACCTGATTCAGGCACTACAAAAAAACACGAAAATGGTGACGCAAATTTTGCGTCACCATAGGGCGATTTTGCGTCACCCTTTTAAAAGGGTGACGAAATAGTGACGCAAAAACAGTGTCACCAATAGCACCGTCACCATTTGCAATTTCGTCACCAAGCGTCACCAATTGGTGACGTTTGGGTGACGCAGGCATTTCGTCACCAATGGGTGACACAACGGTGACGAAATTGCGTAACTAAATAGTGACGCAATTGCGTAACCCAATCGTCACCAATATATGACGCATTCTGCGTCACCATCTTGCGTCACCAAGTAGTGACGCAATGCGTCACCAAAGTCGTCACCAGTTAGTGACACAATTTCGTCACTAATTATTGACGCATTTTGGTGACGCAATTGCGTCATAAATTAGTGACGATATTGCGTGAACAACTGCGTTACTATTTTGTGACGCAGTCAATATGCGTCACTATATAAAAAAATAAAATAAAAAAAATAAAATAAAATAAAAAAATAAAATAAAAAAAATATTATTATATTTAAATATATAATTAAAGTTCTACATAATTAATTTACAAACCAAAACAATATAAAATATTTAATTTTGATTTTTCCCGTCGTAATTGGCTTCATCGCCGTCGCCACCGCCACCGATTCCTTGTCCACCGCTTCCGAAGCTCGGAAATCCTCGCGTTTGGAACTCATTGAAAAATTCTGCTTGCACTCGTAGTTCTTCAATGAGTTTTCGATCTTCTTCTTGTCGACGCAAGAATTCCGCTTGTTGCCGAAGAAGTTCAGCTTGCTGCTCCTCTAATTGTCGCACTCGTCGTGCGAGTGAAAGCGTTTCCTGAGCAGTTGAAGGAGCATCTTCACCAGGATGATATGTGATATCGGTTTGCATTGAACCGA